TGCTTTAAATCTCAAATGCCACATCAATGACCCTAACAATCTCATTTGGAGTCTTAACCCTAGTGGTATATTCTCAACAGCCTCTTGCTACAAGCTAATTGATGAGCAAGCACCTCATAGCCTTAATTTTAAATGGATCTGGGACCTGAAGTGTCCTAACAAGATCAAAATATTTATATGGAAATTCTATCACAGAAGACTTCCTACGAAAGGCTACCTAACCAAAATTGGTGTTAATATAAACCCTAACTGCTCAATATGCAAAGACACCACTGAGTCTATATACAACATCTTCTGGGAATGTACAATTGCTCAATCCTTCTGGCAATCAATAGGAGTGACAATTAACAACCAGGTGCATACTAATAATTGGTTCGAATTATTACGAAACGCAAGCCCTACTATAATATATAATTACATAACTTGGGAAGATATACTACCATTTGCTCTTTGGGCCATTTGGAATAACAGAAAGCATAACAACCGCAACAATACCAACACCTATATTAAAGTAAAAAAGGTGCTTGATCAAATAATGGAATACACCTTTCCCACATCCAGGGTCTATACTTACAACAAAATATTAAGGATTAATGTAAAGTGGCAGCCCCCCCCCCCCCAAAAGGCTGGTTTAAGATCAATGTTGATGGTGCCTTCAGAAGCAACTGTCTGGAAGGAGGTATCAGCGGAGTCATTTGCGACTATAAGGGCCAATGGCGGACAGGTTACCACAAGAAAATTCATGCAATATCACCAATACAAGCAGAGCTTTAAGCATTTCGGCATGCGCTTCAACTAATTATCAGGGAACATATATTCCCAGTTTAAGTAGAAACTGATGCCACAAAGGTCATACGTTTTCTTCAGGATGATTACCCAACTTACAATAATTTAATTTATGAATGCAGGTGGTTAATAGATAAGGCATTCATGCAGTGGACAATCACATTGAAGCATAGCTTCCGTGAAGGGAATATGGTGGCTCATCTTTTGGCAAAAGCAGCACTAATGCAAAGTAGCTACAATAAATTATGTGTCTTAGTTTTACCACCTGAATTTGTAATAGATGTCTATGACAAAGATCAGGATGGATATATATATATATATATATATATATATATATATATATATATATATATATATATATATATATATATATATATATATATATATATCTTAGAAATTGTTCTAGGGACCAATTCGGTCATATGGCTGCTTTAGGTAATGACAATTCCTTACAAGGCATAATATCAACCCAAGATGGCATATGTACTGATGACAATGTTAAGGGGCATGAGCCCTAGTTATGATTAATATAAGTACCTTTATGTTAAAAAAAAAGTTAAATACAATAACAACAACAACAACAATAATAAATCCAGTAGTTTCCCACATGTGGGGTTTGGGAAGGGTACTTACCCCTACCCCTGGAAGGGCAGAGAGGTTGTTTCTGATAGATCCTCGGCTAGAGAACAACTGAAAAAGAAAAGGTAATTGCAACAAGTACGAATAATAGAAAGATGAAATAAGATTGAATCCAAGAATACAGTCAAACTCTAGGTAGGAATAGCCATCTATGGACAAAAGATATCATACTAACACTAATACTAGCGAACTGAGTAAGACAAAGAGAAACGCTTGACTACCTACGAACTTCTACCCTAATCTTTGACCTCCACACCCTCCTGTCTAAGGCCATGTTTTCAGTCTGCTCCAGCTGCACCATGTCCCGCCTAATAACCTCTCCCCAAGACTTATTAGGCCTATCTCTACCCCTTCTGCTACCCACCGAGGCTAACCGCCCCACTTTCTAATTGGGGCTTCTATACTTCTCCTCTTAACAAGCCCGAACCATCTCAACCTCGCCTCCCACATCCTATTCTCCAGAGGGGCCACTCCTTCCTTTTCACGATTAACTTCATTCCTAATCTTATCCAACCGGGTCACATCCACCTCAACATCGTCATCTCAGCTACTTTTAGCTTCTGCGTATGAGAGTTCTTGACCGGCCAACACTCTGCTCCATACAATATGGTCGGTCTAACTACAACCTTGTAGAACTTATCTTTAAGTCACAACGGCACACTCTTATCAGATAAGACACCGGAAGCGAGCGTCCTCTTCATCCATCCTGCTCCGATATGGTGCATGAAATCTACATCAATCTCCCCGTTACCTTGTATTATAAATCCAAGAAACTTGAAACTACCTATCTTGGGGATGACTTGCGTATCAAGCCTTACCTCCATATCCTCTTCCTGGGTACCGTTGTTGAACTTGCACTCCAAGTATTCCGTCTTAATCCTACTCAACTTGAAACCCTTAGACTTTAGGGTCTGCCTCCAAACCTCCAGCCTCTCGTTAACACTACCCCGTGTCTCGTCAATTAAAACTATGTCATCAGCAAATAACATATACCATGGCACCTCACCTTGAATGTGTCTCGTCAATGCGTCTATCGCCAAGGAAAATAGAAATGGACTAAGAGCTGATCCCTAGTAAAACTCCATCATAACCGAAAAGCATTTCTCGTCTCCTCCAGTTGCCCTAACCCGAGTCTTAGCTTCATCATACATGTCCTTAATCATCCTAATGTATGCTACTGGACCCTTTTACCTCCAAGCATCGCTAGAGCACTTCTCTAGGGACTTTGTCTTAAGCTTTCTCTAGGTCAATCAATACCATGCGCAAGTCCTTCTTTATCTCCCTATACCGCTCCACCAATCTCCTCACAATGTGAATGGCTTCCATAGTCGAACGCCCGGCATGAAACCGAACTGGTTCTCAGAAATGGACACACTGGTCATCACCGTTACTTCAATCACCCTCTCCCAACTTTAATAGTATGGCTTAGCAGCTTAATCCCCCCTATAATTACTGCAACTTTGGATATCACTCGTATTTTTATACAGAGGAATCATCGTACTTTACCTCCATTCATGGCATCTTCTTCGTCCTAAAAATGACGTTGAAATGCCTAAGTATTTCATCTGGCATGGTAGCTCTACCCCTGTGCATCTTACACATAGCTCCCTCGACCTCCTATACTCTTATGTGCCTACAAATACTCAAAATTCCTGCGCATCTCGAAGTGCTCCAAGTCGCCCAGCACAAATTCCCTATCACCCTCTTCGTTCAGGAGTTTATGAAAATATGTCTGCCATCTTTGTCTAATCTGAGCCTCTTTAATCAAAACTCTACCTTCTTCATCTTTGATACACTTAACTCGATCCAGATCACGGGCCTTCATCTATCTCACCTTGGCTAGCTTATATAACTTCTTGTCCCCGCCTTTGGCCCTAAGCTCTTCATACAAACGCCCAAACACTACAGTCTTAGCTGTAGTAACCGCTAAATTCACCTCCTTCTTAGGCCTCCTATACCCCTCCATGTTCACCCTCTTCGCCTCCTCATCCATGCTCTCTATAAGCGTCAAGTACGCCGCTTGCTTGGCTTCCACTTTCTCTTGTACCTCCTCACCCCACCACCAGTCACCTTTGTGGCCGCTAGAGAAACCCTTCGAGACCCCTAACACTTCTCTCGCAGCTACTCTAATACATTTCGCTGTCGTGGTCCACATACAGCTCGCATCCCCACTGCTCCCATAGCCAACAACTTTCCCCCTAACTCCTGCGCTATATCACTAGTCAAAGCACCTCACCTGATCCTAGATTGTCCATACACGACACTCTTCCTCCTTTTCCTCATAATCTCTAAGTCCATCACCAATAATCTATGATGAGTCGTGAGATTCTCACTTGTTATAACCTTGCAATCCTTGCAGAGACTCCTATCGCACTTCCAGAGGAGTAGATAATCAATTTGAGTCACAGCCAACGAACTCCGAAATGTAAGGAAGTGCTCCTCCCTTTTCGAAAAACACGAGTTGGCAATCACCAAATCAAAGGCTAAAGCACAATCCAACAACAAAGTACCTCCTCCGTTCCTAACTCCAAAGCCAAAGCTACCATGCACGCCGTCATATCCCCCAGATATCGCTCCAATGTGACCATTGAAGTCCCATCCTATGAATAACTTCTTGGTGAGCGGAATGCCACGTACCAACCCATCAAATTCTTCCCAGAAGCGCCTCTTAATCTCCTCGTCCAAACCCACTTGAGGCGCGTAAGCACTAATCACATTTAAAGAGACCCTCCCACAACCAGCTTAATAGCCATCAACCTATTGTTCACCCACCTAACTTCTACCACTAGCTCCCTAAAATCCTTGTAAACCTAGATACCTACCCCATTCTTACCCCTCTCGCGTCCTGAGACCCACAATTTAAACCCATTAGCATCTCGAGCCTTCAAGCCCACCCATCTAGTCTCCTGGACACAAGCAATGTGATCTTCGCCACTCTATAGACTTCCCTGTTAAAGTTCTTATATTTCAGGACCCCACTCTCAGCCTAGAGATTCCCTTGCTCCCTTTGCCTCCCCCAACCCCCCCCCCCTCCCGAGGACATGACCTTATTCCACCATCACTCACCCCAGCCACTATAATCTACATAGATTAATGGCGATGATTGTAGCCATTTTGTGCAATAAGAATTCAATTCTATGTATAAAAACCAATTATTGTTCTTCTTGTGCTCATTTATTTTAGTAATCACGTCTAATTATCTAAAAACAAAATTTGCTCAAAGTAGTTGATACTAAGAAGATTGCAAACTATACAAGACATAGAAAATAATACTCCCTTCGGTCCATAATAAGTGATCAATTTGCTTTTGGCACGCCCATTAAGAAAATACAAAATTCTATACAAAAATACCTAGTATGACTAAACTACCATTAATTAAATATTTAATGTGAGGAGTAAGATAACTTTTTAGGGATATATACATAAAGGTAATTTTGTAAAAACAAATTGAATTCTTTCTTGATTATATAAATGGACACTTATTTTGGACCAAAATAAAAAAGTAAATTGGTCACTTATTGTGGACCAGAGGGAGTAGAAGATTATAGTAAGGACATGCATTGAGAAGAGGTCCATCCAAAGTAAAGCATGTAGTGATGGCATTTAAGAAGAGGAAAGACCAAATACATAGGTAGCCCCTTAAAGTTGGCTCTAATTTTCATTTAGACACTTCAACTAGGATCTGTACCTATTGAACACTCCAATCATAACAAAATTGTGTTTATTGAACACAATAGGCTGCAAAAAAGTGCATTTTTCACATCTGTCGCGTGTGTGAATTGATCCAAAAAAAAAAATTAATTTTCCACTTTTTAAAGGGAAAAAGGCTAAAATTGTCCCTCTACTTTGGATAATTAGCCACGTTTATACCCGTTTCTACTTTCCGTCTAAAATTGTACCTACCGTTGACTTAGTAAATAAAATTTCCCTAACCCTAACAGATGTCCAACATGGCACCTGGGACCCCATAATAATTTGCCAACTAAGAAAATATGAACCCATTTTAAAAATTCGCCCGACCCGATTGGATTACACTAGAACCCATTAATTAGTCTTCTTCTTCTTCGATTAAAGAAGACCATAGTCAGCCGGAGTTGAATAAACGGCTAGAATCCGGTCAAAGTTCTTCAGATCTGGGTCCCTGAAACAAAAGAGAAAAAGAATAAGAGAAGTAACATTAATGGGGGTAGGCGTCTCCAGCTAAACCCGATTCACCATCGCCGGCAAGTTTATCTCTATGCCCGATTGAGAAACACAGTCTTCTTTAATTTAAAATCAAAGTAAATCCCCTAAAATTTACTACTACAAATAGTCATCAGATTGGTTTTTAAAAAATTACACTGATAAAACAAGAGATACTTACTCTTCAAGAAGTGAACTTTCCCACATATCTTTCCAAACAATCAATTTTCTCTCATAAATTGGATCCATAAGTTTACATGAAAAAGATACCCATCAAACTCAAAATATTTTGTGCTTCTTCAGAAAGAATTTGTGAAATTCCTTTGGTGAAACAACTGGGTTCAGAACACTGGTTATTGTGTTTTTCATTTCATTTTCGATGGTTGACGGTGCCGGAATAACAGAGTGATTCTTCTTGTAAAACTTTTTTACTTTTGAAAGTATGTGATGGTCACAATTTGAAGAAAGTTTCTGGGATGATTGATTACGGGTGCGGGGTATTTTCATAAAGGTGGTTGGCTGGATTTCTTCGAGCTACCACACACTGGTTGGATAGTTGGGTCAAATAAATGGGTACGAGCCTTTAAAGTTTGTGTTTATATGGGTTCTTATTTGCTTAGTTGGCAAATTATTATAGGATCCCAGGTGCCACGTTGGACATCTGTTATTGTTAGGGATAATTTTAGTTACTATGTTAACCATAGGTACAATTTTAGACGGAAAGTAGAGGGACAATTTTGGCCTTTTTCCCCTTTTTTAAACCATATCACCACCTTAGCTTTTTTTATCTGGAAATCTCCAAGCCACTTTATCCATCGCCGGAGATTTCACAAATTTAAAATCACTCATTTCATCTTCAGCGATGCACCTTTATCCATTCACCACCATCTTCAACCAACATTTTGCAACGGCGCCCAAGTCAACTCCGTCAAGTGGAACCACACCATTTGTTCCCATCCTATGAAATATTTATTCTATTACATTAATTTCAAGTATTTACGGTAGTTTTAGAAGCCTTATAGTAGTATTATTATCATCATCATCTCACCACCAATAAAATTTCTCATTTAAATACTGAAGATTAAAAAATCACCATCCATCAATGGCGCCCATCTTTATTCTCCATTCTTAGCTATCCAACACTCCAATAATAGTGGCCCTTATCCTCTCTAAATTCTGACATCAAAATTATTGAATTAAACACAACAAGAATTTAAAGATTCTATTGCCACATATGACCTTAATTTTGTACCAAAATGGTGATCGAAGATAAGTGTTGAGTGATGAATGAAGGTGATTAGGTGAAGAAAAGGGGTAACAGGTGTTCTGTGATGTGAAATAAATTTTAGAAGACAAAAGGAAGTAGGTAATGCTGTGGGTTTTGGACAGGGATTTATAAGAACAGAGGAAAAAGATGATGGCGCCCAGGCAAGCCAACGATGAACTAGTCATGTATTTGTTTTTTTTAATAATTTCAAAGTGGTTGATTTTTATTTATTAAGAGAATAATTAGTAGAAAATTATAGTAAAGTAAAGTATAAACTAACAAAAGAATAAATACGGTAAACTTAATACTCAAACCATAAAGTGTTTACTAGAATATTCTCAAAACCTGGTGTCACAAGTATATGAGCAACTAGTAGAATATACAAAACCACCTATGCTATTGTCTGGAATAAAATAGACAGGAAATAAATACAAAAGAGAGACTGCGGGTGCTGCAGAACGGACGCAAAGAGAAGCTCACCACTATGCTTCGGGGTTACGGGGGTGAACCTGAATGACTGTTAGATGCACCTGCCTCAGATCCTACACAATTAGTGCAGAAGTATAGCATAAGTACATAAACAACATGTACCCAGTAAGTATCTAGTCTAACCTTGATGAAGTAGTGACGACGGATCGACATCGACACTTACTATGGGCGAATAAATAAGGTACATAAATTCTCAATAGGCATGGAATACATCAATAATAATAACACAATAATTAACAGTAAATAAGTGATTCTTTAACTAGGTGTCAATTAGGATCTCCAATTAGCACATACCAACTTCAACAAATACGAGCCATCATATAAACTATACTTTCTCAAGTCATGAAAGAAATATCAAGTGTAATCGGACTTCGAGCATCATCACGCACGATTTATGCCGAGGCCGTACGGCCCGATCCAGGATAATATGTACACTGCCGAGGGTCAACCGGCGCGAACTATAGATGTATCTATTATACTGTCGAGGCGTTCGGCCCGCTCCACAAGAAGAGAGAATACTCTACAAACTCCGATTTAACCATTACTAAAGACTAATACACAAGGAGACACAATTTCTACCAACAGTCAAGTAACCCACCAAAACTCAAAGTAAATGAAGTTCGGTCTTTAGGAATCCTTTATCAAGTTTCAATATAATTTAAGTGCTTAAATTAGCCAGTAGAGTGCAAATAATACAAGTATTACATGACAAAGTCCTAAAACTACTTGGATATAAGCATGATTTGTAGCTACGCACGAACTCTCGTCATTTCGTGCGTACATAGCACACACAATTAGAAGAAAATAGCAATTGAAACACCTATGAGGTAAATTCCCTCTTACAAGGTTAGGCAAGAGACTTATATCGTTCCCAAGTTCACTTTCCGGTCAACAAACCACCCTAAAAGCCTCAAATCGGTGTCGATCAATCCGTAACTAGCCAAATATTGTATAAATTAATCAACATATACTAAAAAGTTTATAATTTAGCTATTAGAGTAATTACCTAACCCAAATTAAAAGATTTCTAAAATTCACCCCCAGGCCCATGCGCCCTGATTCCAGAAATTTTTGAAGATGAATATTACTCATAACCTCACGAACTCAAATATATATTTTCTGCTCAATTCCATAATAATTTTCGTGGTCTAATTCCATTTTTATCAAAACCTAGGTCTTTCAACAAAAATCCTAAAATTTCCACAATTTCTATGTTAAAATCTACCCATAATGTATGTATTAAGCCATATTGTGTAGAAAATACTTACTTCAAGGTGCTAAATGAAAAACCCTATTCAAAGAGCTCTAAAATCGGCCACAAGTTAAGAGAAATGAACCAAATAAGCCTAAGTCCCGATGTTTAAAATACACTGCCCAGACATTTCTTCTTCACGATCGCCGAAAAGGCCTCACAATCGCGAGGGCAAACAGCCCAAGCCTCAGAAGATTGGCTATCACAAACGCGACCAGAGTCTCGCGAACACGAAGGCTTGCATGTCCTGCCCTACGCGAACGTGAGGGCTTCTTCGTGAATGCGAAGACCAACAACGACCACCCCTGCCCAACTCACCCTATGCGAACGCGGGTGATGACGTTCAAATCCACTACTAAAAAGTAAATGAACATGGTCGCATGCAATATAATTTACCCAACTATGAGTCGGGGTCGAATCCCGCAGAGAACAATATGTAGGCAATTAGGAATGTAAGAGAATTATCACTTGTTATGCAATGCCAAACATTAAGAACTGTTTTGAGAAAATATTTATATCTAATTGCGCAAATTTTAACTAACCTAGAAAGCAAGTAAAATGATCAATGGCTACAAGTATGGATGCATTGGGAATTACACTCAAGTAACGATCTAATGGATTTCACGATTTTACAAATATGAGCGAGTTTATGTTAATTAGCCACGGGTAATAACTCTATATTAGCTTCTTCCAAAGACTAACAAGACTTCCTAATTGAATTATTCCTAAGACAATTAAGAGATTAAGCACACCCGAATATGGCTACAAGTAGTTCAATCCTATCCCTAGGTAGAATCTATAAAATGAGGGTTAAAGCCTCAAGTTCTTGTTAATTAGTCTTTCCCAACCCCAAATATTCTTTCCCAAAATTAATTTGAAGTTGATAGGCGAGTCTTAGGGTTAGCTAATCCATTTGGAAATATTAAAGAACAAGAATAATTAAAGTAACAATAACTCACTTCATAAAAGATAAAAAATCATTCAATACATAAGCACAACAAGGTATTCAATCCACACTTTAATTCTGAATATTCCCATAAACAACATTCAAGTGTTGAAATAAATACTACAAACTTAAATATTCAATAAAAAGCAAGGAAATAAAAGTCCAAATGAGTAAGAAATTCATAACCAAAATCTTCAAATCTTCAAAACCCAAGTGTATGTGCAAAAACCCTAGCTTCCAAACTTGTTCTCTCTAGTCTTGAGGACTGAAAATAAGCCAAAGATAGGCTAGGTCGTGTATTTGTGGGTTTGGAATCGAGAAACTGTGATTTTCCAAATTTACCCAGACCTGAAGCCCGTCGACCGCACCTGCGGAAGAATACACGCAGGTGCAGCTCCGCAGAAGCGGATCTACTATCACAGATGCAAATATTAAAGGGAAGTTATGTCTCCGCAGATGCGGACATGCAAGCATAGATGTGCAACCGCAGAAGCGTTGCTATCACCGCATATGCGATCCCAGGCTAGGAAGCTCAATTACGCAGATGCGGTCCATTTCCTCGTAGATGCGAGGTCGCTTCTGCGACCAGTCTTCCGCAGATGCGGAATCACAGAAGATTTTTGCATTGTTTCAACCTTTTTTTGTTCCACTTCTATTGGATTCAACTCTCTTCATGGAATCATTTACCCAAAAATCTAACAATACACACAATAAACGCCCTCATATATAATTAAAGGACATAAAAACTAAAGAAAATAGATTAGAGTGAGTGGTAAAATCACCACTTATCAGCGGGTCCGTTCACTCGAACACGAAGGCCACAGGTCCCAGACCTTCCCGATCGCGAAGCACAAATTCCAGTGCCCTAATTTTCCCTCTCTACGAACGCGACCCCACCCACGCAATTGTGGAGAAGGAAACTAGAACCAGCAGTGACAACATTTTTGAGCTTAGCTACGGGCGGTCCGAAACTCACCCGAGCCACCCGGGACCTCGTCCATATGCACCAACAAGTCCATAAACATAATACGAACCTTCTTGAGCTCTCGACACACATAAAACAACATCAAAACTAAGAATTGCACCCTAAAACCAAATTGAATCAAGTTATGAACTTCAAGCTTTTTAACATACTTCAATGTTGATACTCAATTTTTTCCTATATATTTTAAACATGCAAAGTACCTTCAAAATAGCATATACATGCATATATAAGCATGCCGAAGGTTTTATTTATTTTTTCCATAATTTTAAGGGTTTTAAATTGATTGATTTTTCTTCCTTTTTATCCAAAAAATCCCCAATAATTATTTTCAAAATTATTATTTTTATAATTCATCTATTGGATTTCTATATTTATGCCAAAATATGGCTAATGTAATTTTTATATATTTTTTGCAATTACATTTAGTATTTTTAAAGCTAAATTGCACATAATTGCAATGTTAGCCCTTTTAAGATATAATTATGTTTTATATACATAAAATTGGATCCTTATTTTAAATTGCTAATTATGTATCCAAAATTATTTTAGCATTCTAAATTATTTTTTCAGAAATTATCTACTATTTTTTATAAATTAAATAGGGAAAAAACTG